TCTACCACTGAGCTACATCCCCAGCCCTTTTTAATTTTTTTTTTTTTAATTTTGAGACAGGGTCTTGCTAAACTGCTGATGCTGGCTTCCAACTTGCGATTCTTCTGCCTCAGCCTTCTAAGTAGATGGGATGACACCTCTCAGAGGCAGGATATTCTCTATAGTCTAATGTTGGAGAGAACATTCCCTGCAGAGTGAAAAAGGGCCTATTCAAACCCTTGGAAGGGTTACTGGCAGAGGGACCCACCACCAGGACAGAGGGTAAAAATGAATGTCTCTTTTAGGTGGGTTGTACAACCTAGGAGGAGGTCTACAGTCCAATTATATACTGTCTCCCCTCAGAAGAAGCCAATCTTGCAGGTCAGGGATGTTAATTTTGTTTGTTTATTTATTTTTGCAGTTACTGTGGACTGAACCCCAGGGAGCTCTACCATGGAACTACAACCCTAGCCATTTTAATTTTTTATTTTGAGACAGGGTCTCTTTAATTTGCCCAAGCTGGTCTTGAACTTGTGATTTTCCTTCCTCAGACCCCTGAATCTCTGGAATTACAGGCATGTGCCACAACACCCAGCAGGATTCTCACTTTGAACCCTCCTCCCCCTGCTCAAGAACATTTTCCCTCTTGTACAGACTTGTTCTTCGAGAGAAAAACAGAAATGAGTGTTTCTTACACCTAGAAACTAATTTCCACCCTAGATCTTGATTCTGAAGTAGTGTGTCTTTACCATACTGAAAAACTTCCCCTGCCCCAAAGAACTATTGCCTTTCAGAGAGAGGTATTGTATCCCCACTTTCCCACATCAGAAGGAACATCTTGCTCACTCAGGGTGTAAATGGGATTCTCTCCTGCCCTCCCTCACATTAGGAGAAATACTTCTTCCCCTAGAGAAAGATGTTTCTCTCTTCCACATCTCCTCAAAGGGATCTGGAGCTTGTGGAAGAGGGCTGGCTGCTTCCTCTGAGTGCTCCTGGGGCATGGAGTTGGGCAATCTGAAGCCTGCAAAGCCTGGGACTCAGGATACTTAGCCAACATTTGGCTAGTCCATGTTTTGCCCCAAGAGCTACTCACCCTCAGAGTGATGTGACAGTGTGAGGAGGCTGACACAGGATGCACCGATGCCCGAGCCAAAGACGGTAATACGGCGGGGATCTCCTCCAAAGAAAGCAATATTCTCGCTCACCCAGCGGAGGGCCTGGATTTGGTCAAGGAGCCCATAGTTGCCCTTGGCAGCCTGATCTCCAGTGCTCAGGAAACCTAGATTCAACAAAGGGCATGAGGACAGTGAAGGCAGAGGGATGGAGAATTTGGATTATGATGGAAAGCAGAAGTTAGACAAAAGATCAACCTGCAGCTACATAGCTCTTTCTACCTTGCTAACAAACCATCACTCCTTTCTGCAAGGTCCAGCATCATCAATACAGGAAAGGTGGGCTCTCTGCTTCCCATCCATTATTCAGTGTGGAACAAAGGGTTGGGCCATTTAAAATGGCTGCCTCCTCCATGTAGCTCTACTGCAAGAACTGTAAAAGGCCAGAATTCAGCATCCTCCACCAGATATACTATCTGGAGACATGATTCTAACATCTGTTAAGATATAGGGAGCTAGGCGTGGTGGTGCAGGCCTGTAATCCCAGTGACTCCAGAGGCTGAAGCAGGAGGATCACAAGTTTGAGGCTAGCCTCAGCAACTTGGCAAGGCCCTCAGCAAGATAGTGAGACTCTGTCTCAAAATAAAAAAAAATAGGGCTGGGGTTGTGGCTCAGTGGTAGAGCGCTCACTTTGCACATGTGAGACCCTGAGTTTGATACTCAGCACCACATAAAAATAAATAAATAATAAATAAATAAAAATAGAGCTGGGGATATTGCTCAGTGTTTAAGCACCCCTGGTTTAATCCTCGGTACCAGAAAAAAAAAAAAGGAAATATAAGAATAAAAAGGACTGGGGATGTAGAAATATATACATCTGCAGTCCTTTTTATTTTGAGACAGGGTCTTACTAATTTGAGGAGACTGGCCTTGAACTTTATATATATATATATATATATATATATATATATATATATATATATATGAGTGAAGGGGGTTTTTTAAAGTCAGATAGTCCTTGGTTTGAATCCTGACTCTATCACATCCTAGCCATGTGGTCTTGGGCAAGTTATTTAAAATCTCTGGGCCATAGTTTCCCTTTCTGCAAAATGGGACTAAAATACCTTATGGGGCTGTAACAATGATTAAAATGAGCATAAGCCCAGCACATGGTAGAGCTACAGTTATTTCTTTCTCCTTTCCGCTCTCTCTGAAGGAAGGGAAGATCCCAAAAGGCAACAATTCCTAAGCTCTCCTTGCCCTTCCTGTACAAATCAGTCCATTTCCACTTCTTTCCAGGGCCTTGGATGCCCCTCTTCCCCTTATTCTCAGGACACATCCTTATTTCCCTTCCTCTAAGATCTAGTGAATTGGAAACCTTGGGGGTGGGGCTCAGCTATCTGTGTTTTTCTTTTCTTCTGCAGTACTCAGGATTGAATCTAGGGGTGGTAAACCACTGAACTACATCCCCAGCCTTTTTTGAGACAGGGTCTTACTAATTTGAGGAGGCTGGCCTTGAACTTGCCATCCTCCTGCCTCAGCCTCCTGAGTCGCTGGAATTACACCCACCGCTCCTGGCCAGCAATCTGTGTTTTTAACTAGCTCCAGGTGATACTAATGCCTTCTAAAGTTGCGAAGCCAGTGGCTTAGACCATCTTTTTCATCTAGTGGAGAAATGGGGAAGTCAGTGCTCTGCGTTACCACAGAAACAGGTCTTCCCGCCCACCCACTGGGATTTGCTGCTGAGGAGACATGTCACCATGGAGACTACCTTCCCACCCACCTGCTGGGATTTGCTGCCTCAGAGACTTGTTGCCATGGAGATTACCTTCCCGCCCACCTGCTGGCTATCCCACAGAGGATGTCCTATATTCCTCCCCCCCATCCTGCTTCCATTTTAGACTGATCCTGCTGCCTTGTTTCATCTCTTTTCCATGATTCCCAGGTCCCTGGGAAGGTCCTAGCTTCTCCTGCCCTAGGCTTTTGGAAGGTTCCTTTCCAGGTGGATAATTACAGTGCTCCTCCACATAGAAACCCATACTTGGATCAGTATTTTTTTTTTTTGACTCCGCAGTTAAAAGCTCATTCACAGCTCCTGGAATCAACTTGGTGTAAGGCCATATTGGAGAAGGCTTCCAGAGCTCTCAGAGAGCTCTCTGGCAGTCTGGCAGTCCACGGGAAGAGGCTAATTTCAAATGGACTCAAGCAGGCATAAGACCTCATCACTGTCTCTCTCAAATCCTTCTGTGCCTAACGTCTATGAAAGAGCTCATCTTACCCTCTTCAAGTGTGTTATTAATTTATATTTGGTACGATTAAGTACATAAAGCACTTAGTTATTCCTTCAAGGACCTAGTCACACATCCTGTTTTCAGCCCCAGGGTTCAGATGAGGAAAGGAGAAAGAATTAGGGGAAAGTTGAACAAGGATGAACTTGAGGAGTCCTTGTTCCTCCAGACAAGGGAACCAGCTTCTTGGGCTGCCCCATGAAGAAACTGATGCTGCTCCCGCACCCCTTAAAATCTATGCTTACCAAGACCCAACTCAGGTGCCCGAGCCCTGAGACCCTCTGATGTGCTTCTGTTCATCTCCCTTTCCCCTTATCTCCCTCCCCCACATTCATTTTTCATTTTCTCTCACTTAGGCAATAGCAGATTTGGCTTCAGCCCTCACCAAGCCATCATCTAACAAAATGTGTCAAGAATGTCTGTCCCAATCAGCAGGAAAAAGCCTGCAGTTGAATGTAGTAAATTTCTTTAATATGGACTGATTTTCTGGGTTAGGAACAAAGGTTTGAAAGCCTAGGTGGATGGTTTGACAACCCTTCTCTGCTCCCTTAAATCCCATGAGCCTCTGGGTAAGGGGCATTGAAGTATGTGGATGGTGCCATGCCAATGATCCTTACTACAAGAAGAATCCTGCTTCAGGTACTATATCCAACAGGCTCAGGCAGTTGATATGGTGAACATGACTGACCCGGAGCACACAAAACCTGGTGATCTGGAAGAGCAGTCACATACTGCTACTTCTCCAGGATCTCTCCCATCTATAGAAACCAAGAGAATGGAGACTGAAGCAGCCAACTCTATGCACTGTCAGAATAAATCTGAGCCAGTCTCCCTGGGCCCAAGTTGATACTGCAGTACATGGTAAGCTTGTCAACAGAAGATGGGGGAATCTGGCAGACTGTGTCAAAGCTAGATATCTGTGTCATTCAAGGCTTGGTGTGTACTGGGTTCTCAGTTTGCCTGGAGGGTACCTGAGTAAGGATATAGAATTAAATTAATTCTGGAACCCAGAATAAAACTTGGCAAGCCCCTATTTTCTCAATCCCAGGAGAATCCGCATCCTATAACCTGCTGGAGTTCTTTTCTTTTGTTGGCCCCAAGCCCAGTTGGGGCTTCTCAAATAATAGCTACCCTTCTGTGCTGGAGGAAATCCAGGGACTAGACTGTGACATTGTCAACATACATGAATCAGCCAAGATGTCTAGAGAACCACCTTAGAGTGAACCGTCTGTTTGGGCTCAGTGCTCAGGAGAAGCTGATGGGAGGGAGGGTGAATGAATGCATATAATTGGGGTCCAAAACTGGCCACCTGTTCTGTGGTGCTTTGGGAAACAAAGCAACAAAGCCTCAGCTACACAGCAAAATCCCCATGTGTCAGGGACAAACCCATGTACTACATCTGGTGCCAAGAGACAAAAACATCTTGTATGTACCCAGAATGAAATCAGTGGCTTATTGATTATATTTGTGTTCCAGAACAGGAACTAAAGGGTACACAGGAAGTAGTGAGGGAACTTCTGACCAAATCTCAGTTTATAACTACTTATGAGTGTGGGGTAATATTATTTGGATCATCAACTGCTTAAGCCCAAGTAATAATATTCCTGCTCCCCCAGATGTGCTGCTCTGATTATCCCAAGGAGAGGAGGTTGTAAAGTAGGGGTTCTCAGCCTGAGTTTCACGGATGAGCTTTAAGGGGATCTGTGAAATTGTTTTTGTAAATGCGTGTGTTTCATTTTGGGGAGTCCATAGCTTTCATCAGAATCTCAGAAGAGCCCAAGATTCCCCAGAAGTTTAAGAACTTTTGATATAGAAACTTAAGGATTAGAGCAGCTGAAGGGTGATGAAGTAATCAGCAAATCAGGACATCATACAGAGTGCTCACCAATGACAACCTTCTGTGCAGCCCACAGCTCCCAATTGACACTGTGGAGACCTCATATCCTATTAAAATTCTGTCTCTTCTTAAATCTTATGAGCCTCTCCTCTGCCTCTTCTTTGTGTTGTTTCCCCATGTCACCATCATTCTTTTTTGTCTCCCCAGTCCTCTTCTTCTCTACCTCACTTGTCCCTCTTTCCCTCTCTTCCACACTCTTTCCCTCCATTCCTCGTTGGCCTGATAATTTACAACTGAAGTATATTCTTAGTATTCTCAGTACATTCCAATAAATCTTATAGAATGTAGCTTTGTGTTTTATAATTTTTAAAAGCAGCTGAAATGAATATTTTCTATTACTCTAAGAAAAATTACTTTTAGCTATCAACTACCCTGTATGCATGTCTATATATCTGCATGTGATTATGTTTGTGCATTCATTACACTTTAGGAACTGTGCAGTCCTAGTGTACAGTCACCTTTACAGTATTATGACATTCAGATCTCCTTTCTTTACAGGATAGAAGAACTTACAAGAGCCCTGCTATGGTGTCTGAGGCAATGCAGAAAGATAGAGGAGCATGGGCAGAACTATGAGATCCAAGTTCACCAGGCTGTGTGGAGACCAGGAGCATGCCCTGCATGCTCCACCTGGTCTCAGGAGCTGCTGAAGGGGAAACAGACTGCTTTTTTTCAGAGAATATAATTTCTCCACTCTGAGCTGAAAATAGGTATCCTACTATTGCACACAGGTAAGTCAACAGGAGATTGCCTTTCTATGCACACAACCACACCAAGAAGCGAAATGCAGCACCAGGACCTCTGGGGTTGGAACTGGCAAAGCAATATAGTCAAGAGCAAATTAAAATAAGGTCCTCTTCCCCATCTGGCCATGGAATAAGCCAGGCCTAACTGGTGGTTCAGTCTCCATCAGCCTAGGCCCTAATGGAACTTCTGAAAACACAAATCCTCCAGGTAAGAAGTTGGCTTCTTCATGCCACTACAGGGACATGGGGCCTGGGTGAGCATCTTAAAGGGAGAAAGGCCTTGTGTGTGTCATTGGCCTCTCTGAGGCACTTGTTTCCCTTAAGACCTTGGCCACAGGTAGGCATTGGTGGTCACCAAGGGTGATGCTGGGTAGAGGGTAGAAGAAATGTATATGTGGGGCATGTAAGTGTAGGAGGAAGCATGAATGTGTTTGCAGGTAGACATGTGTGTGTGTGTGTATAGATGCAGCTTTAGGTACATGGATGTGTGTGGGGTGAAGGAATAAATACACATGTATATATTGGGTATATATATATGTAGGACATGTGTGGGAAGAGTATGTATATGTGTGCATGCATACATATGTGTGTGTGTATATATGTGTAGGGGGTCTATGGGTGTGTGTATATATGGGGGAATATATGAATGTAGCTTATGGTATGTGTGTAAGATGTGGGAATAGGATATATATATGGGGGCAGAGAGAGAGTGTGTGTAGTATTTGTGAATATGTGGGGTTGGGCAGTTTGGACATACAGGTAAGGATTTTATATGCATATTGGGAGGCAGAATATTAGTTTGTGTTTACATGGAGAAAGTGAGGGACAGATGTGTGTGTATGTGCAGTACGTGGGTGTGTGGAGTAGATAAAGTGGGATGTGTAGGAGGATATGAGTGTGTATGTATGTGTGTGGGTGGGTGGAAGGACTATTTATGAACATTTAATGTATGTGGGGTTTGGGCGTTGATAAAAATGTGCAGGTTGTAGGTCTTTGTGTAAGTATGGGGTAGAGGAAAGTGTGAGTGTGGATAGGTGTAGATGTGATAAGATATAGGGAGAAGTATTAGGAGAATGTGTATGTTTGTGTGTGTATATGGAATGTGAGAGAAACCTGTGTGGGTGTGGAGCATATAGAATGTGTGGGTATGTGTATATGTGTATGGAAAAGACTACACTTGGAGTATATATGTGGAGTGGCAGGAGAATATGTCGATAGGTGAGGGAGTCTATGATGTGGACATGGAGCTATATGCATGTGTGCTTTGTGGGTGAGAAATAACTGTATGCATGGGGGTAGGTGGAGGGTGGTATATGACTCTATGGACATGGGGTAGAATAGAAGGAATATCTCTCTATATATAGGATCTTTAGGAACATAGGGCTGGGTGGGTAAGGAACAGGACACTAGCGAATAAATAGACCCTACAAAATAGCCAAGTTAAAGTCTGGGTGCAGAGACCTGGCTTGGAATCTAAGAGAAGGGATGAGTTTGAACTGCAGTACCAGTGGCTTCTAAATATTCCAAGAAAGGGCCTGGGGATATGTGGAAGCCCCCAGAACTTAGATAGGGGTTATGGGATAACAACATTTTGACTATGATCATTACGCCAGCTAGAGAATCAAGGCAGCCTGTTTTGAGTTCTCTGGCATTCTTCCCTCCCTCCCTGAGATGCCAGTCTTCCTTCTAGGCACCTGGCAGGGAACATACCTAGTACCCCAACTCGATAGTTGAGGGTGATGACGATGACGTTGCCATAACTGGCAAGGACGCTGCCATCAATCATGTTGCCAGTCCCTTCCATGTAAGAGCCTCCGTGGATGTAGACCATGACGGGCTTAGCACCACTGTCCCGAATATCTGCAAGGAGAAGGGGTGAGACACAGGCTGGGTAGGTTGCCCTTCCTCCCCCACCCCCGCCAGCCCTGGGGGGGTGTGGGCAGCAAAGCTATCCCAGGTGCCAGGACACCACTGCCATCCCTGAGGGCAGGACTCATGGGGGCTGCTCATCCCGGACCTCAAGAATTGGTCAGAGATATTTGAACTTCAGAGATGTTTGGGAGACTTGGATTTCAAGTGCCTCCCAACTGAAGATAGCCAGATACTTCTAGGCCTAGGTCAGCCATGGTTGGGCTCTGGGGGTGGGGAGGCAGCAGGAAGAGGGAGGACTGGTCTCTTTGCTGCATTAGGTGAGTCCCTGCCCTGGGCACCCAGGAGTCCTGGGACCTGACATGGCTTTAGAGAGCAGGGGCTGGGGAGCCCTGAAACCCCCAAGACTAGACCATTTACATGGAAAAACGGCCATTGGCAGCAGCTGGCCCCCCAGTGCAGACAGAGACAAGAGGGGTGGGAATAAGGGGTGGCACAGGGAGAGAACAAGGAAGGATGTGGGGAAAGGGGAGTGAATAGCAGAGATAGGGTTGGGGGAACCTTATTGACATGGTTTCTCAGCCACGTGCCCATTTACCCCATTCTTCCCAGGCAGACTTAACCAGAAATACTGGGTTTGGGGCAGAACTGAGAGAGCCTGCTCCCAGTCAGCAATAAGATGAAGATGAAGCCTCCCCAGAGGCCATTCAATGAGGGCCGAGCAAGTGGCTGCTCCCAATCCCAGGCAACATGGCGTTGGGGCTGGGGCAGTCAAGAGAAGTTTCCAGGCCTGATCACCTTTGCCTGAAACCTGTCAGTTGGTGAGCTGGACCAACACTCTGCCACACAAACATAGCCCTACCCATCACCAGTGGGCCCCCCTGAGCTGTCTGGCCCCGCCATGGGTGAAGGGGCAGGATGAGGGCATGGAGGTAGAGGGGAATGCTCTGCTGCAAAACGAACGAATCTGTTACCCCAAGGAGGCAGGCTGTGCCGATCATCAGCCAAGGAGCTTGTGCCATCTACTGACAGCTGTGGTGTCCTGGCCTTAGCCTGGCATGTTAGTCCACATCTTTTTTGTTCTGTCCTGAACCTACTGCAGCCCGTAACCCTGTGATCATCATCTCTCTCTTTCTGGGACAATACTGAGGAGGTTCTAGCCCATTTGCTTGTCACTATCTTACTTCTCAGAGTGCTGACTGTCTGGGCCCCTGTCCCGGGAACCAGGCTCCCTCTAAGGTACAGGGGTCTCCTCCACGAAACATCAGTTCCTCAGCATTCATTTTCCTTGGTTCCCTCTCGCCACCCTCCCCAGGTCCCACTGTTCTCCACTCTCCCTGCTGCTCAGTAGGGGCAGGTGCCCATGAACTATAGAAGATAGGGGAGGGTATAGGGCTGGGGTGAGGAAGATGCCCTCCCCATGGCTCTGCCTGTGGTCCCCTGCTCCTGCCAGCCATGCCCATCACCCCGGAACTCCCAGTGGCCCACGAGGCCAAAGACGGAGGAACAGCCTGACGGCCTCATACAGGAACAGAAACACACCAACAGACGGACAGACAGACAGACGGGGCTTCTCCCCATTGAGAAGGGGAGGGGCTCTGTGCCATGCACCAGCCGCCACGCCCTGCAGCCCCCAAATACCTTCATCTTCATCCCCGTCATTATCCGCTAAGTCCTCGCCCTGTTTCTTAGCGCCGGATCCTGGGGACCAGACACGGGGAGACACAACAGCACAGAACAGAGAACAAAACAGAGAGAGAATTCAAAAACAGCATGACTGCAGTGTGGCCCAGCAAGCCAGCTCTGGGCCTGGGCCCAGGACAGGCAGGAGGGATGGCAAGAACTGAGGGAATGGGTGGGCTGAGGCCCAGACCTTTATTAGGATGATGGTGTTGCAGGCCTCTGCTGTGCTGGCCTCCCTGCACCTCCCTGCCCCACCTCCCTGTCCCCAACAGCCCCTCTCAACCAACCCCTTCCCAGTTTGGAAGGAGGTAGCAGCAGGTGGGCCAGGGCACAAAGCCAGAGACCCACTCAGGGGAAGGATTCATTCTGGGTGGAAGGGGCTGTGCATGTGCACACAGGCAGGTGGAGCTGGAGAGCAGGGGCAGGTATTGAAGATGAAGGGTGACACTGCCAGCACGTGTGAATATCCATGGGAGGTATTTAGGGCAGAGACATGTTCCAGGAACCCCAGGCCTGAGCTTCTGGGACCCAGTGGGCAGGATCAAACTGGGCCTCAGCTGACCCTGATTCCCACAGGAGAAAATGGGAGATGGAACTTTCCCTCTGGCCTTGTTCATTGGGGCCTCCTGCTATGGTTAATGGCAAGTGGGGTGCCTGCCCACAGGAACCAGTCTTGAGAGCAGCAAGCATTGCTCTGAGATGTAGAGAGAGCCAGAGGGCAGGGAGGGAAGGAAGAAATGGGGAAAAGCAGAAAAAGATGATGAGAGAGAGAAGAGAAACAAAGAGATAGGAATAATGGTAATTAGTTCCTACCATCTACTAAATATTTACCATGTGCCAGACACTCTACTTCTGCCACATTGTTTGATCCTGACTCCCCAATGAGGTAGGTACTATTCCTTACTCCTGTTTCACTGATGGGGAAACTGAGGTTCAGAGAGGTAAAGTGACTTGCTCAAGATCACACAGCTAGGAAGTGCTAGAGGTGAAATTCAAACCAAAGTCTGCTTGACTTCAAAGCCCATGGTCTTTCCACTGCACCATGCCACCTTTAGGGGATGGGGTAAAGTGAAGAGAAGAAACAGATGAGAAAAGAGGTGGAGCATGGAGGGAAGGGGAGAAGAAGGGAGAAAAGAAGAGACTAGAGGGCAGACATTTAGGACCTGGGGGTAAGCTGGTACCAATTCTTCCTGTTCTAAGGAGACTAGAAGTGAATCTCAGAATGGCTGTGGAGAGAGAGATATCCTGCCTGGATGCTGATCAGTGTGTGGAAATCGAGCTAATTCTGCTGGCATCCTAGGGTTTACCCTCTTGCATATCTTACAACAGATACTCTCAGCCTAGAGGAAGCGAATAGCCCTCTTTCTCAGCTGCTCTGGACTCTGGTGACTGGATTTCCTTATAGCTATTAATCAAAACAGGAACTGCCCTCATACTACAAAATGGCTTTTCAACTAGGGCAAGAGCCCAGCCCTAGGGTATAAACTGCCTCCAGCTTCCTAAACTTCCAATGGCACCTATGGTCTTATGTTAACTCAGCAGCTGCCAGTGCTGCCCTTAGAAACCTGATGGGACATGGTCATCAATCATCACCCACACAGAAGACAGCCCATCAAACTAAAAGGGATCACTTATCCCTAGACATCAATTCCCTGCAACTTGATGGGGTAGGTGAGTGGGGCATGTCTTCCCCAGGAAACCCTTCCCTTCTCATCCATTGTCCCTGGTTTAAAAGATGCTGTCCCTTCTTCACACTTCTGTGTTGCTGCATTGTCCCAGTCTCCTTCACACAGACACTTTTGCTCCTTCAACTTGGCCCTTGCTGAAAAATTCCTTGCTGCCACGGTCCTCACCAGGCACTATCCCCAGATGCTGTACAGCTGCAGGATCCCACCCAGGCCGCTTCACCTAACCTATGCACATCATGATGACCTCTGGGTATGGGTCTCCCTGAAGAGGCAAGGCTTGGAACTGTTCCAAATGGCCAACAGGCCCTAGAGAAGTCTCATTTGAACAGCTAAATGACCAAATTGCCCACTTCCCAGTCTAGCCTATGGGGCTTGGGGAAACCCGCTGAGTTTTCTATATCAGGCTAGGAACTTCTTCGGGGCAGTAATTAGGTCTTTAGTCTTCAAAATCTCTCCTCTACCTCACATCACTCCATACCCTAACAGCACGTAGCACATGGCCTTGCCTCTCATCCACAATGGCCACTGGTAAATGTATTGAGTGGGGATTTCTAGTCAGCTCTCTGGCCAGTCTCAGGGCTAGACTGAAAAACCCTGGGTGCTTACTGGAGTCCTGGAGAGATCATTCTTCCTAAGAAACGGTCCATGTTAATGTCATCTCTTCTCCTCACCAGACCCCACCATGTAATTTATAGGAGCAGGTTCAAGAGACCCTCTTCCTGAATTCATTTAGAGACTGATGGAATGTTAAGGTCAGAATGGTCTCCTTTCACCTTCAGCTGTGGTTCTGAAGAACAGAGGTTCTTAGAGGAAAAGACTTGCCTGTGGTCTTATGGTGAGTTGGCAGCAGAGCTGGGACTCAGTCAGGTTTTGTGCTTCCCAGACCTTTTCTATAGCACCATAATGCTTCTGCATTTGTGTGAAAAATACTGATGTATTACCTACTATGTGTGAGGTCCTGGGTTAGATGTGGAGAGGTGGGAAAACACTATCCTTTAGGTATTGTGTCTCACTCCATGCTCCAGTGTGCATCAGAAGCACTCAGGGCACATGTTCAACGTGTAGATTCCCAGAAATTCTTATGCAGTAGGGAACATCCCACCCCAGAAATTTTGATGATTTCATTCTGAGAAACCCTGCTCTATGATATCAAAAGAAAATGAACTCCAAGCTTGCCAAAGGGATATAGGGATGAGGTTGTGATTGTCCTCCTGTTCCTTTGGCTTTACTGTTTCTGAATTGGCCCAAATCAGGCCACATCTCTTTTTTTTTTCAGAGTTGGGGAGGTGGGAAGGACCAGATGCGAGTTGCCTCCTTGAACTACAGTGGAAAGAACACGCCCTGAGGGTCAGAGACCCAAGTTTTGGTCCCAGCTCTGCCACAGACCAGCAACAGGGGCCTTCAGCAGAAGCAAGTCACTCCCCTGGGCCTGTTTCCTCATCTGGAAAATTGGAATACTAATTCCTGCCTTCTTTGCTTCCTAATATGTAGGGAGAATTTTATGAGATTAAACATGAGAGCACTTTGTGGAAAACATAAAGTGGTATTTGAATAGGCAGAGAGAAATTTCTCTGAGCAAGAGGGTAAATTTACAGTCTGCCTCCCTTACAATCCATAGTGCCCAGACACCCCCCCAAGTTCTGCCACCACAGCAGCCTGGGTCTCTCAACTAGGTTCTGACTGGAGTGGTAAGGCAGGGGCCTGGGGTGTGTGTGTGGAAGGAATAACTAAATCTAAGTATACATGTTTGGTCTAAACTTCAGGTGGGGAGAGTTGAGCCCAGACTTTCAACCCAGAACAAAGCACTGGAGGGATATTCTTGTGGCTCCACTCCCTGAGGATGGGGAATCCTCTGGCTCCATCTTGGCTGCCTAGAGTTTCTCTTGAGGTGTCACCAAGAGAGCCACTAGCTCTGTCTTTGGCACACACTTTATACTGGAATTTGGAGCTGGGAAGACTGGAAGCAATGGGGTCGCTTCTTCTGCTCTGAACCTGTCTAAGGCCACCAAATCCTCCCTGCAAAGCAGCCAGGACCCTCGGATGAGGTGGACCTTATGCCTGCTCACCACCCCCTGAGCCTGGGCTACTTGAAAGAAGGCAGGGTCCTCAGGGGCAAGGGCAGGTGGGCAGGCAGCCCTCCCTCTCTCTCTCTCTCCCTCCCCGCCGGCTCGCTACCTACCTCCTTTCCTACATATTTTCTTGTTGGGCTTTCGGGCGCATTCCTTGGAAATCCGCTTTACTGTAAAATGAATAAAAAACTAAAAAATAACAGGAGGCCTCTGCCCAGGGGCATGCACCCCCCACCCCCCAGGCCCCAAGAGCTGAGCTGCTCTGCAGGCGGCACATGGCAGAGAGCCTGTCCCACCATCTCCTTGTTTCTGTCACTTACCTTAGTGTGACCCCCGCGGGAGGAGGCATCAGCTAGTGAAAGAGGAGGCACCTAAGCATTGCCCACCAGGCTTGCCCCCCGCCCCCCACACACACCCAGCTCCCTTGGCCACACACACCTACCACCTTTAGAAGCAGGTGGAATGGCAGCAGGGGGGCCTGGTGGAGCCAGCATCCTCCCGCGGGCAGCTGCCAGCAGTGACCCATACTCCCCCAGGGAACCCCCATCCAGCACTGGACCTAGACCTGTCAAAGCTCTCAGGCCTGGCCAGGCCCCTCCTGGCAACAGTGTCACTCACACATGGGAGCTCGGACAATGCTGGGGAGGGAAGAACAGGGAGGGGGAAGGGGGAGGCCAAGCAGAATGATAGTTAGAAACATTTTCACAGACAGACAGACGCATGCTGCAGGGCACACAATCACATGCAAGCCACAAACACAATAGGGCAGGCGGGAGGCAGGGAGGGCACAGTGCCTGGCCATAGCACTCACCATCCTCCGTGGGCACATAGACGTTCAGATATAGGCAGTCTTCGTTGGGCTCCTGGATGTAAGTAGCGACGATATCCAAGTTGGCAGTGAACCAGACGGGCAGCATGACTTCAGGCACAGCTGTATGGATGTTCTGGGGGCACACTGGGGGAAAGTGTGTGGCGTTCCGGATGCCCGACCAGGACGGGGGTGGTTCAGGGGGCAGGAAACGTTTCTCGCCGATTGGGGGAGCTGCGTAGGGCACCCCCAGGTATTGGTCCACAGGCCCCAGGATCTCACTGGGCAATGGCACCCGGGCACCCCTTAGCTTCCCAAAGTGAGTATTGACTGTGGGTGCTGGGGCCTGGGTACTGGCCCTCAGCACCAAACTGAGGAACCACAGAGTGAGGCACAGGCTCCGGCCAACTGCGGGCGTGGGGCTCAGGGGCAGCGAGGGCAGGCCAAGCCGCAGCCACATGTTCCGGGCAGGGGGACTGGCAGGAGAGGCAGACTCCAGGGTCACAGCATCAGCCCAATAGGCAGCCCCTTCATGGCCACACTGACTTGAACCTCAAAACTGCTCTCGAGGGACACCTACAGGTGCCCGGCAACGTGGAGAGCTGGTCGTCCAAGCACCACGGCTTCAGAAAGGGGACTCCCTCAGGGCCAGACAGGCCTGTGGAAAGAGGGAAGCACATGTCATCCAAGATGCCTGGGAGGGCTACCGAGGGGTCCTGCTGGGCTTGGCCTATTCTCCTACAGTTAAGAGGGGTTTCACATGCCCAGGTTTCCAGGAACTCAGGTTTCCAGTGGATCAGTAGGTGATCCATTGCCGGTCAAAACCATTTTATGTGCCGGGCCATGATTGGGAAATCCAAAGGGTGACAATTGTTGTCAGAGTGACAATTGTTGCCACTATAAGTTCATAGTCCCCAACTTCAACTCCACAGCCAATGGAGATCATTGAGGTCAGCTGGAGTCAAAGTAGCAGGTGGTGGCAGGGGGTGGGAAGAGCTGGAAATAGATCTTGGATCTCTGGGCATGCTGTGTGAATATGGAGCTGTCTAGCCCCTGGGACCCAGTAATCCCACACAGGAACCTCCCCATTAGGACAGGGTAGGATTGTTCATCTCATTCCAGGTCAATAAGGCAGAAAACTGAAAAGCAGAAGATAGGCAGAGTCCCAAAGAGAGATCCCCAAACCCTCAGGCAGGGCAGAGGGCACTGATGGCCATTCACCTGGGACCCCAGACCCTACCATACCCATCACTGCTCCCAAATCCTTAAGCCTTGGTCTTTTCTGTTGGCTATCTCTTAATTCACACTGAATGCCAGAATCCAGGGCAGGAACCTGTCTGCCTAGCATGCTAGGCATTGTCAATACTAGTCCAGTGTAAAATAAACAACAGAGTGTGGGGACACACACTCAGAGATTCATAGAAATAAACCCACAAAGACTCAAAGAGGGAGTAAGAGAAGCCAAGCCAGGATCACAGACACTGCGATATTCACTCACAGAGACATACATTCCAAAGCCCACAGAGATCCCCTCATATAGTTCCACATTCCGAGACAGTTGTGCCTCACACAGCCAGAGCCTCACATAGTGATACATTCAGAGACACACACAGAGACCTACTGAAATATAATCACACATACCCGCATAGGTAAATATCCAGACACATGCAGCATAATGGTGACACATAGGTGGAGACAGAAACAGAAATAACAACCCGCTCAGACACAGGCCTTCTGACACAGTTACACAGTCAACACATATACACAGGCACACACATGCTCCAGCATGGGCACACACGCACCCACGCACATGCTCATGCACGCACACACACCACAGGCACATTTAGTTTTTCCCCATTCTCCCGCCTTCGGAGATTGCAGGCCTGCTCCTTTAAGAAGTGGCTGAAGGGGTGGGGGAGGGAGATTGGGAACGCCCGGCAATCGGCTGCCACCACGAGAGGGGAATGAGAATGTGTGTGTGTGTGTGTGTGTATGTGTGTGTGTGTGTGTGTGTGTGTGTGTGTGAGAGAGAGAGAGAGAGAGAGAGAGAGAGAGAGAGAGAGAGAAAGAGAGAGAGGAAAAAGGAGGAGGGAGGGCGGGTAAAGTGACTGAAGGGTGGGGGCTCAGAGGAAATGGGGAGCAAAGTATGGGGGGGAAATCCCAGACACTGCCCAGAATGCACCCTGGTGGAGAGGAGGAGGGGAAGGGGAAGGAAGGGGTAGGAGTAGGGAGGTGGGGCAGGAGGGAGTGGGTGGGTGTGTATATGGGGGGGGGGAATAGTCCGCAGCTGAGTTCACACAATCCCCCCATTCACCGTCTCCATGGCAACTCCGGGGCACAGACCGCTCATTCACACGGCTTCCCCGCCAGCAACCCCCCCCCATTAACCCCCTCGGTGCTTCCCCCACCTCATGAAATCCATTAACCCTTTCAGGATGCCTCCTCTCCAGTAACCCTTCGGCGCCAAATGCCAAATTCCCCTTTGAGTCAATTTCCTGCAGCCCCTCCCCCGTGAACACCTAGACAAACCAACCGACCCCCAAATGCCCTCTGTACCCTAGAACCCACTGTGAGTTCCCAAGGCCAAGATCTCCATCCTGGTCCAACTTGCAATTTGGGAAAAGGGAAGGGGAGGCAGCAATGCCAGGGATGAGAATGGCATCTGAGGGCACTTTGGGGGCTGGAGCGGTATTGGGCGAGGGGCATTGTGCAGGAATGGACCAGTATTGAGAACTGCAGTATTGGGGGCTACGCGGCTTTGGAATGGTATTGGGGGATGGAGTTGCACTGGAATGGGGAGGATAGAATAAAGGCCTCCATTGGGTGGGGGGGCTGCAGAGAGTGGGGGAGGGAGACTGGCTATGAGATGCTATGATGGAAGGGGGATGGGGCTGCACTGCAGGGGAGGGGGGAACTGGCAATGTGCAATACAGGAATGGGGCTGGGGGCCCTGGATAGGGGTATTTTGGTGAGCATGCGGATTGGGCTGTGGAAATAGAGGGACCATGGGCGGGAGGATGATAGGGATGCGGGATTTAGGGAGGAGGTGGAGGAGAGAAGCGAAGTGGGGGAGGATTGGGGGGTCAGGGGTGCCGATGAAGAACATGGGGTTGAGAGGGATGGGGCCATTGGCTGGGGAGTGGAGGAACCCGAGATTGGGAGGGGATAGGATGGGAGCAAGGTATGGGCAGCTAGAGGATGAGATGAGAGACCGGGGCAGGCGGCCTCACCTGTTCCCCGGGCTGCTGCGAGCGACTGAACCGGGCCACGGACCACCCATATCGCCTCCAGGCCAAGGGCTCGGCACCCGAATCCCCGAGATCAGCTCTCCGGCAGCCTGGCTGCTGTGCCCGCGCACCGAGGGGGCGCGCTGCGCGTGCCCGGACACGGGGGGGGCGCGGTCCCTGCCATTAACTCCTTTTGTGCCAGAGATGGCTCAAGTCCTGGGGCATGGCCCAATTCCCCCCACCCCCATGCTCAAGCATGTTCTGCTCACACACTCTCCCTTTCTCACACGCACACCTCAAATCACAAGCTGACAGGTGATCTCCAGGGGCAGCTATTCCAAACTTTACCTGCAAAGCTTGAGACCTTGGAACAAAGGGAGAAACTGAGGCACTGCACGCAGGAGGCTCCAGTCATATTCCACAAAGATATGCTGCCACCTCACTCAGCATCCCTCACCTCTCCTCAGCACCAGCAGCAACCACCAGTGGGACCACTTTGCTCTCATCCTGTCACTCTCCCAAAGGTCAACACTGTTCCCTTTTGCTGCTTTGGTTGGGGCAGGTTTGATTCTGTCAGCATGCCAATTGTCTGTTTCAGCCTCTACCCGCCGCCCCAGATATGGTGTGTTTCTGAATGTAGTGCACCTGTCCAGTGGGCCTGACACACCCAGGCCCCTCTGAAGGCTCCTTATCCCAGCCAAGCTTCTGTCAACACCTGGGGCTCCAGTGTGTTTATGTCAGGATAGAAGTCAGAGAGAACTTCAGTCATGTTTGTCTTTATCCTGGCAGGGAGTTCCATTCCTTGCACTCACCTAATCTTAAACTTTGTAAATCCCATATGCATACGGGCTTTGTGGATGGACCTCAAAGAGGGATTTTATTTTTTATGACTTGGGTATTGATTGGTACTCCCAGTATTACCAACATACTTGACATTTCCCAGTGATAAGGTGCAACTATGGCTTCAACGAACATGGAACATTGCCCTTAAGTTGTCAAATCTTCCTGTAGCACCCACCCACCAGGCTGGAACTGGTCCTCTTCCAGCCCTGGCTAGGCAGACCAGAAGACTTCATTGTTGTAAGGCAGTTGGTTCTTTTGCACAGCCTTGGATCTAGGGCCCAAAGCAGAAAGCAAGGGGGCCGAGAATGGCCCAGCCACAGCTCCAAATGTGACTTCTGAGCAAGTTCTGAGTTTTCTCTACTGTAAAATGGGAACGAGCATCAGTCATTCTGGGTAACTGCCAAGGTGGGTCATGTGAAAACAAGCAGTTCCAGGAGCAGGGCTGCGAGAAATGTGTGCTATTTCTTACTGGCCTCTCTTCCTCTTAGAGCCACACTGTCCTTCTGCCACCTATTCTATGATGGCTCTTGCCAATGGAAGGCAGTTTTTCATCTCAAAAATGTGACTCTGAGAGAAGATTTTTAGCCTATGAAAAGAATGTCACTTGGTGCATGATGGGGACCACGAGATGGCAAAAAGGGTAGGCAATGTCCATCATCTTGACCCCTCCCACCCACTTGTTTGAGGTCCAGTTTCTAGGATGCTGTAGAAAGAGAATCCAGTTCCATTGATTTTTTTTCCCCTGATGTAACTGTCCTCCCCAATCCCAGAGGCATGGCCTCCATGAAGGAAAGCTGTAAAGAAGCTACCCCTTTTAAGAGACTGGGGGCCTGTACCTCGATATGTTGCCTTGGAGCAGGGAAGAGAGAGTAATACTCCAATCAGAATCAAGAAATGTACGGAGAGAATCAGACTGATCAGATTATGGCTATGTGCATGTATGAATATGGCATAATGAATCCCACTATCATGTATAATTATAATGTACCAATAAAAAATATTCCCTGCTCAGAAAAAAAGGAACAGGGAGTTGAAGGTAAAGGGGGACGATGATCTGAATGGCATGAAGGCTTCTGACTTGTTTGTCCAACCCCCAGCACTCTCCCAAGAGACCACCCTTCCCCGACACACAGAACTCACACACTCCCTTTGCAAAGAAGCTCTGTGTATTGGGTGCAACAGCTCTGGGGTCTCTCTATATAAATAATATACAAAACCCAACAGCTCAATGCTTCACATTAACAAAAATACTAAAAACTCATTAAAAATGGAGCCTGAGGGAAGGGCCCCAACCACTACTGGTGCTAGCCCAGGAAGAGGGGCTAGGAATTAAGAGGAAAGTGTGGGGCCACATCCAGTGCACAAGCAGTTCCTCCACATGGCTCAGTAGCGTCCGAATATGTTGGTACTGGGTTGTGGCTGGGTATCTGTGAAAAACCAGAGATTGTCAGGGATGGGAGACCCAGAAAGGTTATGGGTATGTAGGAAGAAAGCTAGTCAGGGAAGGGAAGGGAAGGGAAGGGAAAGGGAAAGGCATAGAAAGGTAGGGAAGGAAACCTGGGCCCAAAGCAATCACCTAGCTATATTTTCCCACCCTGTCCCCCACTTATTCCAAGGGGTTCTCCTCAGGAAGGCAGGCAAGCTTACTGGAGAGCTGTTGTTGGAGTTGCCGGACCAAAGCTGCTGTCTGTTGCTGCTGTTGTGTCTGCTGAAGCCCCTGGCGCTGGAACTGAGGTGGGAGGGGAAATCGGAAAATAGAACTCTAACCCCCCGGGCCTCCTTCTTCAGCCTCATTTCTCAATCCCTTTGTAGAGTGCCATGCCTTGGCCTCCCACTGCTACCCTACACACCATTCCCAACCCAGATCACTGGCTATGTGCCCAACCTGGGCAGCTGTCCCTGAGCCTGGGGTTGGAGTCCAGCAGCTACCTGGGGCTGGGACTGGGGCTGGGGTTGGGGAGGAGCTGCCTGTTGCTGCTGCTGCTGGTGTTGTTGTTGTTGTTGTTGTTGCTGCTGCTGCTGTTGTTGCTGCTGCTGCTGCTGCTGCTGCTGCTGTTGTTGCTGCTGCTGCTGCTGTGAAGACACAAGATATTTCTGAGGCCATCAAGGCAGCTACAACTTAGTATTCGAGGGATGGGGGCAGGGAGAGCATTGGGTCTGCTCTTCCTTTCTCAGACCAATGCATAAATGAAACCAAACTTGGAGGACCCATCAGTCAGTATTCAACTCTGTCCCACTATGATCCTCAATAGGCAAAAAAGGAGAGGGGAGACAACCAACCTAAACCCCAGCGCAGCCAGCTGCTCTGCTGGGTGCTTAGCACACCACCCCATTTAATCTTGGTGATAGTGCGGGAGGAACTTGAGCTTCTCTTCCCTCCTAGGGCTCCCAAGTGCTGGATGGAATCCCAAGGCCTTACCCTCTCAGGGCCTTACCCGCAGGATCTGTTGCTGCTGTTGCTGCCGGATGTGGTACTGCTGCTGCTGCTGCTGTTGCTGCTGCTGCTGTTGCTGCTGCTGCTGCTGCTGCTGCTGCTGCTGCTGTTGCTGTTGTTGCTGCTGCTGCTGCTCAGGTAGGATGGAAGTTGAGCGGACGCCTGCCTGGACGCCCTGGGTATTCAGCGGAGTCATGGTACCTAGCATGGTGGTCTGCTGCAGTGTCTGGTGTGAAAACCTCCAAAGACAAGGAGACCAGAGGTCAAGGCATGGGGTTGGGACAGAGTGGCATTTTAAACCCTGGGTCCCTGACCTGCAAGAAACTTTAACAGGTCATTGCATTCATTCCTCTTGGCACTAACCAAAGGAGCCCTTTTGAATTCTGACTTTTTGGTCAGAGAATAAGGTGTAAAGACAATGCTCCATTTTATTGTCTCATAGCCTTAGTGGTTAGGAATTTTTCAGGTGTTTTATTTTTTTCATATGAAAATGAAAAATAGTCTTATAACACGACAGGTATTCTATAAGCACTCACTGAGGTTTTTTGTTGTTGCTGTTTTTGTGCCTGGGTAACACTTCAAGTTGTTCT